TTATCCCACTTACTCCACTAACAAGTTTCCTAAATCTGTAGCTTAGAGGTGAAGAAACCTCAAGACAATCCATTCAAACCCTACAATTAGGCATTTCCCAGTCTCAACAATTTTCACATGTACCTGACCAAAGTTAACAGAAAACCAGCCACAAGATCATATGCAACACTGGAAAAATTACAAGTGCAATTATGATTGGGGGGGGGGAGAGAATATGCAGGAGTTAACTACCTATCACACACTTCCTTCCACTCTCTCTCCATGCCCATCAGGTGGTCAGACAGAAGGTGGCTTTCTTCCCCAGAATGCTGTCTTGTTCCCTCCCCCTGCCCTTTTGGAAGATACACCTTAAAAACAGAAAGGGACCTGCATGTGTCTCCATTAAACATTAGCGCAACTCATTACTCCACACTGACTCTGTGTTCAGCTTCCAGCTTACAAAGCAAATTCCACCTCAGGGCCAGCCCCGAAAACCAGCCTGGTGCCGGAGGTGGAAAGGTGCCCCCAGGGATAAATAACAAACACCACTGAACAATCTGACAATCTACTGCTCTTTAACGACACCCAAAATCTGCTGCCTGAGGCGGGTCGCCTCACCCTGCCTCACTGCATTATTCTCACACTTTCTGTGCTATATTGAGGGTAATAATCTACCATACATGGCTATTGTGTCGATAATTAAAGGTTATAAAACATGCTGGATGCTAAAGACGCAGCCGCACACATTTTTGTAGAACTCCAAATGCAACTTCAGCATCCAGATAGTTTGCTTGTGTTCGTCTACAGTTTATGGCTGTTCAACTGCCTCCATTTCCTCTTGGCTTGTCCTGTCTGCAAAGTGCTTAAAATATACCCTGTTGTGTAAAGAAGAGGAGGAGGAGATTGGATTTATACCCCGCCCTTCATTACCCGAAGGAGTCTCAGAGTGGCTTACAGTCTCCTTTCCCTTCCCCTCCCCACAACAGACACCCTGTGAGGTAGGTGGGGCTGAGAGCTCTATTGAGAACTGCCCTTGAGAGAACAGCTCTGAAAGGACTTATGACTGACCCAAGGGCACATCAGCACCTGCATGGGGAGGAGTGGGAAATCAAACCCCGTTCTCCCAGATTAGAGTCCACGTTTTTAACCATTACACCAAACTGGCTTTTAAATTAAAAATGGTCACTGCCCAAAGTTTTATACCGCCCTCCAACACATCTTTAATGCCACTCCATACTCATGTAGCTTGTGTTACAAAGTGTCTCACAACTGGGCCACTTAGCTCAACACCGGCTTCTGCAGCTAGAGAAAGCTATCAAAGACCTCAAGCAATGAAGGGCCTTTTTCCCAGCACCTGCTACCTGGTCCTTCTTAATTAAAGATGCCGTCCACTGGATCTGGGACCTTCTGTGCGCAAAGCATGTGCTCTACCACTGAGCCGTGCAATGAGCAAGTAAAATTACCACAACAATTACTGCCTCCGCTAGTCATTTGTGGCCTGGGGGTCGGGGTGAACCATAATTTGTGAAGCTTCTGTGCTTTCTCGCCTTGGGACAAATCTCTCCCTTGCCAAAACCGATAACGCGACTGGCAGTTTAGTACAGATGCACCTTTCTGGATGTCTAGCGCAGATGCGCCTTTCAGGATGATGCATTAACAAGCAAAGCGTTAAGGCACTGTCTACCTGAAACAACCAAACGGAGCAATCAATGAAACATCACCAGCACTTTATGATTTATGATCCGTTTATAACTGATTTGCTTTAAATGGTTTTATGTGGATTTTAATTGTTATTTATGTGTTCTTCGGTGTGAGCCGCCCTGAGCCTGCTTTGCAGGGAGAGCAGGGTACAAATTAAATAAATAAATACTGTACTTTGGTCACATCCAGAGGTCATTTCGGGGGGGAACGCGGGGGAACGCAGTTCCCCCGGGTGAGGTACGGGGGGGGGGGCACATGACGAAGCCCCGCCCCCTGCTTCCAGCCGCCCCGCTTCCGGCCCTCATTCAGCCAGGAGGAGGCAGGAGAAGAGGGAGGGTAAGTTGCTTCCTCCCCGCCTCTCCCCACCCCTGCCTGCCTGGGGCCAGGGAGGGCCTGGGCGGGGCTTCCTCGCACTCCCGCTGGCCGGGCCCCTGATGTCAGGGGGTGTGGCATATGCTAACGAGTTATGCTAATGAGTTCCCCTAGCTCTTTTTCTACGAAATGACCCCTGGTCACATCCATAAGACAAGACTCGCTGAGAAAGACAACAAGACTAGGAAAAGCAAAGGCAGCAGGAACGCAGGAAGACCCAGCAAGAGACGGACTGACTCAGTCAAGGAAGCCACGAGGGCCCTCAGTTCGCAAGGCTGTGAACGATTGGACATTTTGAAGGACATTAACTCAGATGGTAGCCATAAGTCAGAAGCAACTTGATGGCACTTAGCACACATACTACCTAACCCACTAACGGATGCATGGGGAGGGCGGGACTCTTCAGCCCCAAGGGACAAATCTGAAGCCAAGGAGCACCTCATAAGTCTTCATTAACATAATTTGCATTTTTCTATGAAAACAAACTGAATGCCATTTTGTATATATATATATATACACAGACAGATTAGTGTGCATGATGTGCAAACGCAACAGGTCACTGCTGCAAGGAGCTTACAGTCTAAATATAGATGGAGAAGGAACAGAGAAGGATGAATTCGAGGGTTTGACTTCTGCCACAATATTCTGACCCTGAAAGTTATTCTCAAATGCTGAAGCTCGAGTCCGCCTTAACAACCACCAAAGAGGAACCAAACCGCAAAATCTTGAGGGCTGAGAAACCAAGTATCCTCCCCCTTTTCTCCCCCTTCCTACAGCCAAGAGGCAATGGTTCCACTAAGGATACACCATGATGCTAATTTTAGCAGAGTTATGTAGAGCAGCAGAGCTTAAGAATGAGCTGCTGCTGGCAACAAACAGCTTGGCTAACGTGGAAAAGAGCCGGAGCCACAAACTTTATGGAAAACAATTAAACCGAAATTGCTTAGAAAGTTCCAAGAAGCTGGTAAACACATGGCAGAGCTCGGCGGACTGAGCAGCTGTGGAAAAAAAAGAAGCCAACCCTGGATTCCCCCAAGTTTTATATAACATTCGTTTTTAAAACAGAACACTGGTTTGCGCTATAAGTAACACTGTTGTTGGTCTTCAGTGGAGCGGTCATTCCCTTAACGTTTTATCTCCCCCCCCCTAACTCCATAAGCTACTCTGAGAAGAACACCGCCAAATGTATATGTAAATGAGCCAAGAGCAGCCCTCTCAAATGGGGCTACGAATACTACTATTTCACACCATTACTTTCAGGACGGGCTTGAATGTAAAAGATGACAGAACCAGCAGAGCCACCGTAAGCAGGTGAGTCAGACTGAGGAACCGACTTGTGAACTACGCCGCTCCAACCTCAGCTCGGCTGTGGGTTCTTCGGAGAGCCTTGTGAGAACCAGCCTCAGATTCAGCACCCCTCCCCACACCCACCCTACAATATGGGCATAGCAGCACTGCTGGTCTAGTGATATAGGGCTATTGTAAGGATGGCTGATAAACTATATATACAGTCCTCGGGGTGCACAAATAAGAAATTGAAATTACATAAATGAAATTCTTAGGCATGTTTAAGGAAAATATTTTTACAAGCGTGCAAGCAAAGGAATGGCCAGTTATTCCCCTGTGAGGCCTGGGCACACATTGCTTCCTTCTAGCTGCCATCAAGGAGGCCAGAGGGAGGGAAAGCGGCACATGTGCACATGAAGCGGCCTTGTACTGAATCAGACCATCAGTCCATCAAGGTCAGTATTGACTACTCAGACTGGCAGCAGCTCTCCAGGGTCTCAGGCAGAGGTCTCTCACATTCCCTACTGCCTGGTCCTTTTTTTTTTTTCTTTACTGGAAATGCCAGGGACTGAACCTGGGACCTTCTGTGTGCCAAGCAGAAGCTCTTCCACTGAGCCACAGCCCCTCCCCTTCCACTGAGCTAAGCATCCTTCCAAATTCAGCTCAGCAGAGAATCCCCTTACCAAGGACCATTTTGCGCTGGATTTCAGTTTACCATTTAAGGCTAGATTTTGATGCCTGCGATTGGTTTCAGCAGAGAGTCATCCGCTGAATGCAAGATAAAAACCAACAAACCAGCAGGTCAACTGGGGCATATTATGCAAACTGAGAAAGTTCTACATTCTTTCTGTTCCCAAGACTGGGGTATTCAAAGATGGGCTTATGGAGGGGCAAAGAAATGGAGGGGGGGGGGAGAACAGAACTGAGAATAGACAGACTTTGGCACTCAGGGTCTGAAGAAAAAAGGATTGTGTAAGGGACTGAAGCTCTTACCCAATGCCACCCTCAAAGTTTAGCTCAGAAATCTTCCAGCTTCAGATATTGCACTAGGCAGCACATACACATTTCCTCAAGCCACAAGGTCTAGAAATCTGACCTTCCAATTTCTTAGAGTACTAGTCCCACCTTGATTCATTTGCAAGGAAATCCCTGCAGGTAACACTAAATTCTGGGGAAGGACATAAGGCGAGTTCTCTGTTTGCCTGAGAATCCCACTGACCCAGACATAATGTGCTCACCACTCCTCTGTGGCTTCACAAGATCAGTGTGGCGACGATCAGGAAGCCAGAGTAGGGCAGTGGCTATAATACTGGGCTAGGGTCACAGACACCACAGCCCCAGTTCCCAGTAAGCCACAAAGCCAGCTAGGTGACCACGTGCCAGTCGCCAATGTTCAGCATGTGTCTCTCACGGCATTCCTGCATTCCTCTTGCTGAACTTCCCATCACCTCCTGCCCCAATTCCTAGGAACACAACTTTAAAAGCCTCTTTTAACAAGTCAGATTCTCCCAATGCCAAATTCTGCCCAACGTATCAGATCCCGTATTCCCAAAGTACTGACACCTTTGGAAGAAACCGCTTCTAGCACCCAGAACCCTTTTGTTTTTCTTCCCAATGGTGTGCTGTGGGTGTGGCCAGCACAAATCACACGCATCACTCACTTGCTTCACAGGTCCTGGGTCATTCTTCTCCTCTGTCATCTTCCCAGCCTTCTGCACCCTCCTGGGCTGCTTGATAGTGGTTTTTATGGCAGGCCGGCAGACATAATTTTCCAGATTCTTTGGGGGTTTTTTAGTTCTCTTAGCCTGGAGGCCAATTTTCAGTTTTAAATTTCCCTCTGAAAAGTTCGTTTCCTTCACGGAAAACTGCTGCTGGGCGTCGGACAGGTTCTCGCCCTTGCCGATCTCGCCGTCGTTCTCCCCGCAGCTCCTCTTTTTCTCTTCCTCCTCCTTAGCGCTACCATCGAGGGCCAACTCTCTTCTGCCTCCTGCTGCGCCCGTGGCAACCGCAGAGGGGCTTTTCCCAGAAAACCCTTCAGAACCAGAACCCAGCCCTAACATAGCAGTATTCTGAGGGTCCATCACAGTACGTGCTGTCGCAAAATTTAACAACACAGCAGGCGTGTGGGTCCACGTTAAAAAAAGAAGAGAAATCTTCCTACAACCTCGGAGCCGGCATCTTCTCACTGCAGGAGAAACACACAAAAAAGAACACAATCAGAATAGCTATTCAAAAGCAGACAAAAAACCATGGAGGTTCAGAAGTCTCCCTTTTGGAGGAATGAAATATCGGTAAGTAAAACAGGCTTGCAGGTCAGTCCACACAAATTACTAACCTGCCCTCCCCTGCATGCTTATTGAAATTTAGGACGTTTAAAAAAACTACAACACTGGATTTTGTGAAGATGATCTGACTGATCACCTGGAGGCCATGCTTATTCACCTTTGGTGACCAGACATGTAGTTACACACATGGTTGCGGTAAGCAAGAACTGGGTTGGAATCAATGCTTGTGCCATGGAAGCTTGCTGGGTGACCTAGGGCCAGTCACAGTCTCTCAGCCTAAAATACCTCACAGGGTTGATGTCAGGATAAAACAGAGGAGAATGATATAAGCCACCCGCAGTCCCCATTGCAGAGAAAGGCGGGGTACAAATTAAGCAAATTAAGTTAATGGCACACCCCAATCAGGTTCCTATATGTATACTCAGCTCCATTCACTTTGGAGTTAAGAAAATACTCCATGGCAAAGAGACGCATGCACACAGTGACTCCTTCCACTAGACTGAATGGGGAAGCTCTCAAGGGAGAGAGGGGAGCTCCATGTATGTGCAGAAACTGAAACGGATACCAGTGGAACCAACAAGCTACTGAATCCACCGTTAAAAAGAGGTATTTTTAAAAGACTTATGTTTCTTGTCCTCATGGTTTTAGATAAAGAAAGAAAAATGCCAGCATAAATCTGAAAAAAGGCTTCTGTGCTATTTTATGACTACTGGTTTTTTCCGCATTACACTACTTTTTGCTTGTCTGACTAAATTTGCACTGAGTTTCGCCTCTCTCCCCATCTAAATTTTAATTTTATGTAGGCAGCTGTCAGTCTCATTCACCAGACAGCCTTTTCTGGTTGTTGTTACGAGCACGGCTGGCAATACAATCACAGCGTAATTGCAGCAATATTTTCCAAGTGTTTCCATAGTTGTGCTGCTTGGTAAGCCTCCAGGGCAGCCCTCCTTCCTTCACCCACACTGGTTCTGAGGCACAAAGCCTCACAGATGTTCTCTAGCGGTCTTTCCTACAGCATCCTCTCTCACCAGGTGAGGGACGAGCAACAAATCAGGCCTTAAGAGACTCATGCCAAGATCAAAGAGCCACAAGTCAATGCTTCTTCCTCTTCTCTAACTCTAATTTAAAAAAATCTTCTCTGGGCCACTTCCCCCAACCACAGGACCTGCTGCCCCTCACGTTCTTTCTTCTGCTGCTTTTGTCCCTAAGCAGCTTGTACGTCTGAGATCGCTGTCCCTTTCCTCCCTACTCCACCTGATCGCTGCTGCCTCCTCCTCAACTCTCTGCCCCTGAAACTAGAAATGTATTTTTAGTTACCGACCCTGCGTAGAGCTGAATGCTTCAATCTGCTAAGAGGTACCAACAAATTCCTAAGTCCCCAAGTGGCCGGGCACCTGGGATCTTTGCAGCTTATAGCTTTCTATACTGGTATGGACAAAAACAAAACAAAAAAAACAGAGAAGGAAAACTGCACAGGAGGGACAGCTGTCAATGACCACTCGCCCAGTCTCCTACAGCAAAATATCACCTCCAAGCAACCCAGCCAAGAAAAGTTTTATAAACTGGAAAAGAATTAAGAATTTTTCCCCTCTCAGGCTGATGTCTCAGAAATCTTACCCAAATATGTAAAGACAGACAGGTTAACAAAAGCTGCACTCGGTGCAGGAGTACTGAAAAAAAGGTAAAGGTTCCCTTGCTCGAAAGCCAGTCGAATCCGACTCTAGGGTTGTGGTGCTCATCTCCGTTTCGAAGCCGAAGAGCCAGCGCTGTCCAAAGACGTTTCCGTGGTCATGTGGCCAGCATGACTAAACACCAAGGCGCACAGAACGCTGTTACCTTCCCACCAAAGTGGTACCTATTTATCTACTTGCAATTTCTTGCTTTCGAACGGCTAGGTTGGCAGGAGCTGGAACTAGAGACGGGAGCTCACTCCGTCTTGCGGCACCTGGGTCTCGAACTGCTGAACTACTGACCTTCCACAGCCTGCAGTTCAGCGTCTTAACCACTTGAGCCACCACGGCTCCATAGGAGTACTGATACAGAGTATATTATGATGTTTTGGTTTGCAGCCTTGGGCTGACATCATGAATCCTGGGTATTTCCCTCTCGGCTCAAATCAAGAGCGAGAGATGTGTCACGGGAGCCCATCTGTCATTCAAAACTCTCTTGGCCCCAAACAACACCTGGTATCAGAGCAGCAGAATCTGAAGTCACCTAAAAATATAAATTTTTACCAGTCCTGTTTTATAAGACAAATGGCTGAGTATTTTCTGAACCTCTTCATTCCAAACTAACCAGCTCACTATAAACTTGGAATCAGGAGCTCTCGGCTTCTCCAAAAATGCAAATTTGTGGAAGAACTTTCCCTCCAAAATGCAGTTCTCGCAATCGGCAGCTTTCCTGGACGATTCCAATCATTTTTTCCCCCTTGGGATTCTGGCAGAAGAGACAGCTGTTGTCATGTCAGCCCCAAGTGAAGCAGAAGTGAAATCTTCTTTTACCACTAACGCTCACAGAGGAATAGGCAAGCTTCTGAGTAACGCCAAAATAACTCGATCCGGCAGCATGGAAAGGAAACCAATTCATGCTAAGAAGATCAGCTCTCCATTCAGTTGTGCCCCTTTGCATCTTACCTACTTTGGGTGGGTTCCTGAGATGCTTGGGAGAGTATATAAGTAGGGCACACAAAGGAGAGTATATAAATATTAAAAACAAATTCAGATGAGAAATGTGTGTGTAAACACCATCCAGTTACAGCTGACCTATGGTGACCCTGTAGGGTTTTCTAGGCAAGAAACAAACAGAGGTGGTTTGCCATTGCCTGCCTCTGCGTAGCAACCCTGGTCTTCCTTGTTGGTCTTCCATCCAACAATGAGTTAAAAAGCCACTGTGTTAAACAGAGAACTACACATGAACAGAGCTCAAACCCCTCCTCTGTCACTGTCTTCCTATCCCTTATCCTAGCCTACTATACTAGGATATTGGGTAACCTCACATAAAATATAAAGGTTTCCCTTGCTTGAAACCTAGTCGAATCCGACTCTAGGGGGTGGTGCTCATCTCCAGTTCCAAGCCGAAGAGCCAGTGCTGTCCATGGTCATGTGGCCAGCATGACTAAAACCTCACATACACCATCCCAAATTTGAAGGAAGGAGCAAACATGCACAATGTTAGCTCCACACGAGCAGTCGTACACAAAAGTTGGGGTGGTGTAGAACCCCGCACAGAAAAGGAGGCGTGCACCAGCCTTCCCGTGTTATAACTTGTGTGATTCTGCCTCATAGGCAATGCTGTCTATCCTGAATGGCAAACAGAGAAAGGGGTGTCTGAACACCTGCTCCCCAAGACACTTTCACTGGAGACACCACAGACTGCATCGCTACCACTCCCCAAGTCCTCAGGAAGAAATCTTCTCAGCATTTGCTCTTTTTGAAAACTAGACACACCAGGGACTGAACATTCTGCATCGAGGCTGATGCTCCACTACTGGACTGCGCCCCTCCAAAGGCATGCTGTATGTTCATACATCAAAACACCAATCACACAGACCGTGGCCCCGTGAGACAAAATTATAGTTCTGCCAAGACCACGCTACTATGAAGGGCCCAAAGACTGCTGTGGCCGTTAATCCTATAGCAAGGGTGACTCTAAGGAGGTGTGAATCTGATCAGTCTGGAAAGAAGCACTCCGAGATGTCTAAAAGAAGAGTTAGCTGCAAGTACACTAAAGAAACACTGTGATTTAGCACATACATATGCCAGCTCTTGTTCTTAGTGCTGCAATGGCATTTCCCCTGCACGAGGAGGTGACAAGCTGAAAATTTGTGACCAAACTCTGAAGGGTTCAAGAGCAAGTTATCTTGTATGTTAATGGATAAAAAGATAAATAGTATCAGAAGAAAAACTTAATAACTGAGAATAACTGAGAAGCACCCAAGTAGCACAAGAGCAGGTATCAAACAGAAACCAAGGAATCGGCAACAGAGCTCTTCAGGAACAAGCACAAACCAGGCCGTTAACACCCTGGAATTACATAGGATCAGCATGTGGACTGAAAAGCCCCTCCAATGGCTGCAAAGAAATTAGAACAACTCCTCCCCCACCACAAACTTATTTCTTATGCAGTAGCATAAACAAACAAACAAGCATCTGTCGAAAAGAGCTCTAAATTTTGACAGATGAAGAGAAAGAGAAGTTTGTGTGTGGGGGGGGGGAGGCAATGGGAAAGAACATACCCACGTGCAGCCATGTATCTCTTGGCTTTGATTCAAGGAGGAGGACTAAGAGGTTCTAAAAGCCACACCGCAAGAAGCTCTGAGGAAGTTAGCCCATGTACTGAGGGATGGCTTCAGGGTCAGAGGCTTCCAGCCTACCAGACTGTGGGAGCAGTTCTGATGGAAATACCAGATTCGCTCAAAATGGTTCATCACTCTCTACTCCCTTGCCTGCAGTTCTAACAGTGTGGCCTAGCTGTCAAAAAGAACCCCTCCCACCTCCTCAAGAGCGTGCAAGACGACGTGCAAGATGAGTGTAGACCGTTATGTGCGATGGTTATTTTGTCAAGTAGACACACACACTGGGTGGCTGTGGGTTTCCCCAACACTTGCATATGCAAAAAAGCACACAGACACGTGTGTGTGTGTGTGTGTGAGTATGAAAAAACAAACCACCAAACAGTACGCTATTTCCTACAAAAGAAATATATTCAGGCAGGAAATCTGACATATCTGACGCAGCTGTCAGTACCAAATAACAGCTCTTTTCGTGGGCACTCAACACAGCAGTAGGTTTATGGACCTGTATCAGAGATACCATGTCACCTTTCCTAGAAGTCAACATCACCTTTTCCTGCCTTTAAAGATTCCAGCTACATAATCAGAGTTGGGATGCCGGGGAGGCCACACACACCCAAGTGCAAGACTGCCATCTTGATACGCCCACCCACCCAGCGGGATTCCCCTTCTGCTCCCAACCCACCCGAGACTCTGCCAAGCGCCTACGTACATCCATGCGGACACCCATGCGTGCACACCCACACTGGGATCAGGCATCTCCCTGGGGGATCCAGTCTTACCCTCCCCACACACACATATCAATGCACAGAGAACCCTGAGTCCTGACATCAGACCTTCACCTCAGAACGGGCGGCCCTGTTGCAAAGCACTCCTCTCTCCCCGGGGGGCACAAAAGGCTGCAAAAATCCTGGAAGGTGCACCATGCTAGGAGGATATCCCAGCCCCTCCGCAGATACGCACACACCGCCTTATTCCCCCCCTCCCGACCCTCCGAAGCAAGACTCAGGGATCCTCCAATCCTTCCAGATTCTCTGGCACCAAACCAGCAAGGATCTCCCCACCACCACCACCACCCCGTTCCCCACTCTTACCCTCTCATGCGTAGATGTGTGCTGTGCGCGTGAGAGGGGGAGAAATAACAAACCTTCCCCTTAATATCTATCTATCTATCTACATACACACACACACATATACATACACCAAAGCCTGCGAGGGATCTATCACCGCGCCGCGTCCTCCAAAACCGGGGCTGG